AAACCCGAGAAAGTAATCTTTAATTATTAAAGAAAAATGTATTATTTCTTTGCTTAACATTGATAATATAAGGATGTGATCTTTTAATACAAATATTAATGATTATTAATAACATTGATTATCTATATTAAATAACATTTTAGTGCATATATAAATTAAATAATTATTCTAATGTTTATATAAACTAATTATTAAAATTTTAAATCAATATTATTCATTAAAAAAATCATAAAATAAAAACTATTATTACATTATAATATGAATGATTATTCTAATATATGAGTTAATTAATTTTGTTTCATTAAAAAATAATCATAAAAAAATATTGATTATATTATAATATGAATTATCATTACAATTTTTAATCAAATCAGAACCAATCAGATCAGATCAGATCAGAACCAATCAGATCAGATCAGATCCAATCAGATCAGGTCAGATCCAATCAGATCAGATCAGATCAGATCTAATCAGATCAGATCCAATCAGATCAGATCAGATCAGATCTAATCAAATCAGATCAGATCAGATCCAATCAGATCAGATCAGATCAGATCAGATCAGAACTTATTAAAATCAGATCAGATCAGAAAAAATAAGTTGAACGGAACAGAGCCTTAGTCGCTACAAGTTGAAGTACAAGGTGCAAAGATGGGGTACCTTCCATGAAAAAAACAAATCACTAAACCTGTTTTCTACATCTTCTTATTCCTAATACCCCCTTTGTCCCAAATTAATACTTTTAGTTTGACTTTTACGACGTTTAAGAAAAGTAGAATTGTATGGTTGAAAGTGATGCAGAAAAAAATACTAGTCACAAAAAGTTTTCCAAAAAAGGAAATATGAAGATTATTTTGGGACAACCTAAAAGGGAAATAATGTAACACCCCGAAACCTGGTCTATCAGGCTTAATTAATTTTAAAATAACTAATTAATTACTAGTATGGATTCAATGTAATTAATTATGAAATGTTTTTCGTTTAACCAAAAGGTTTATACCGTTGTGTAGGGTTCGATAGAACGAATCCAATGGTGCAAACATATTCGGATTTAGAGGCCGTGATCCCGAAAAATACGTTTTGGGCCATGTACATTAATCAATGACGGACCCCAAAACCCCAAACATATAAATACACCCCATACACGCTTAAGCCTCACGCTTCCATCCATAACTTACTCCCTCCCTCTCTCGTTCTTTTCTGTGACCGAAGAACAGAGTTGGAGAACCGGAATTGAAGAAGAACACAACAGCGAGGAGAGGAAAAGAAGAAGAAAAGAAGGAAGAAGGAAGGAAGAGGAGTTTGACGCCTTTGTTTCCCTGTTCGTGAGACTATTTTGGTAATTTGTAATCGTCATGATCGAGGTGTGTAACACCCTCCATCCCGCGGACCCAGTTTGCCGCGGCCCATCGAGCCGGAGAGGTTACGTAGGCGGTTTTTAGGACCATCCATAGAAAAACTCCTTGAATTACTTTTGTAAATCTGAAACCCTTGATATATTTAATAAAGTAAAACTGTTGGGAAATTATTTTCCTTAAAAGAGATGCTTTGTTGCGGAAGCAATAAAGGAAATCAAACGTGAAGTCTTAAACGAAGTAAATGCAATAAATGTGGGTTCATGCCCAAAACAATTTACAATATTAAATGAAATTAAATCGGGTCACGCTGTCGCCTATCTGTCGCTCCGATCTCCCAATCATCCATGCTAGGCTCCATGATCATCACGCCTGTCTGCGTATAGAAAAAACAACGCTATACGCTTAGCATAAGTTGAGTGGTATTATTTTAAATATTTTTATTTAGACTTAGAGTCCTAACATGTGAAGGAATCGAAAGAGGAGAGAGTTTGAAGAAAGAATCATATTCCTACATGGTCTACTTTTTGGCTAGGGTTCAAGGATTTTAGATATACATATGTTCTAGGCCTCTCTCGTCACTGGTGCGCAGCCGAGAAAAAAACATATGGAGTATTTTCTGTGAGGAAAAGGCAGAAGAATAGAACTAACCGCAAGACCAAAAAAGTGAAATATATACATATGAAGTGGAGAAAAGAATTGTGCAGCTGCAAGTAGGAAAGAAAAGTGCTTCGTTGGCCAGATTTTCTTTTCCATCAATCAGTGATAAGCTACGGTCCAAATCTACAAGTTGTGGTCCAGTTTTGGTGGATTTTATTTTGGAATTAGGGTTGTAAACTCGTCTTTGGAGAAGATATTTGAGAAGGTGTAACAAGCCATGGAGTTAGACGCAAACAGAGTTTGTCGTCAAATCATTCGTAAGTAGACAGATCAATACATTAGAAGGTTCTGTTGTGATTGATTGTGTAATTCTTACGGTGATTTAGTGGAAGAGCTATTACACGGACGTGGGCCTAGCAGACGTAGGAGAATTTGCTCCGAATTGCGTGAACAATTCTGGTGTCTTGCTTACTGTTTTTACTTTATATTCTACGAGTATGCTTGTGACAGAGAAGGTGTTGTAGCACTCTGTCTTCATTTGTTATTGTGCCAGTGATGCAGTATCTCTCTACAGCGTATTTGTTTAATCTGTTTGCATAGCTTTCAATTGGTGATTTCCGCTGCACCCCCACGAACTTACAATTGGTATCAGAGCCAAGGTCACGAGTTCGATTCCCAGCGGGAGGAATTGCTGAGGGGGAGATTGTTGGCCATGTGTGCAGCAATTGTCCCGTGGCGGAGGCTTTATGGGTCAAGTCACAATCGAATGTCGTGGGTGCTTGTGTGTTGAATGCACTATAAGGCTATGGTATGCGCCTCTTCTAACACCAATTGGTTTTAGAAGAGTTTGTAGCGCCTGAGGTCCTACATGGTAATCTAATAGTAGGACACATAGTACATTTCACATCGATATAAACATATAATCGTACGTATACTAAAGTACGAGATACCACATACAAATTTTGATAAATAAGGGTAGCATATTTATAACAATGCAATGCCAAATGATTTATGATGCATGAGTTATACTGCGCAGGGACCCCATGCTCTTCGGTGATCATCCCACGTGGTGATGAGCCGAGGAAACCTTAGTCTCCTGAAGGAGACTAGAAATCGTGGGTGGTAACTGAAAGCCTAATTACCATGTACGTACACAAGCCCTCCTGATGAAACCCGTTGGATCCCGAAGGCTCCTAGACGGGCTCGCAGAAGAGGCGCACTAGGTTTGAACTCTTGTCACGGTATGCAATGGTATGTCATGATCATACGACATGCGTCTAGGATGTTCATGATGATATGAATGACTTGCTTTGAAAGAAGTCTAAGTTCAACCCATACATATATGTTTGATTCCGTATTAATTTTCTTCCGAAAACACTTTGTTTCTCAACATGATGGTCCTGGGTTTAGAACTGGATGATAATCGATTATTCATTGATGATAATCGATTATCAGGCATGGCAGTTCCGATCCCAAGGTTCTGCAGCCCCTGATAGTCGAATGTCACTTTAAGACAATCGATTATCAGGTTGGCCCGTTTCAAAATTCAAAGTTTAGAGAGGTCTGATAATCGATTATTTCCCTATGATAATCGATTATCAAGTGGAACCAACTCTGAACTTAGAATATAGGAGGGTCTGATAGTCAATTATCACTTATGTGATAATCAATTATCACACTTCGCTGCTCGAACAAGAAGTCTAGCGTGGCTAGATAATCGATTGTCGTGTCCTATTAGTCGATTATCAAAGCCACGCGGGTTCTCATTTGTCTGTCTAATTGTAACCAATAAGTTGAGAGTTTGAAACTGTTAGGTCTCCAAGAATGAAGGCTCTGATACCATGTAAAAATAACAAATAATGCTTTATTGCTCTAATAATTTAGAGGAATACAAGGTAATGAATATATAGGTGGAGTTGGAGTATTCTAGAATTCTCCACATTTATGGCTAGATAAATAAGGAAATATTATATTATAATAACTCTAGCTATAATAGGTAACAACCATAAATATACTATATAATATTAAATATATTAAAATAATTAATATATTTAACAATAATTATAATATGTTTATCAGATAGGGTATCCCAAATATATTCGTCAAACTCGTGAATCAAATACCCTTGATTCAAATTCATATTCGATAAGGATTCGAATATTTATTCAGATTCGTATTCAAATTTGAAAAGTTCGATTACAAACCTAATTTGAATACGAAACACGAATCGAACAAAAAATATTCGATTCATTTACAACCCAGATGCACATGGTTGTTTTTTAAAAATAATGCTTCCGTCTCAAGAGCAAAATACAAAGTAATTGAGATGCACCAATTATAAAAGTTCATAGTGCAAAAACATGTAGCAAATATTAAAAGTAGACCAAATGAAAAACTTAATTTAAAAGTTTTAAATAACGCAATTACCAAAAGTTGAGCTAGTCTATATTCGATGGTTCAAAATAAACAAACACCTAAAGTCGATTGTCCCAATTGGGGTTTTTTTTCTCTTCATCTCATTTGAATGATTTTGATCAGACTAAAATAACTTCTGATTTGATCTGTTCTGAATATAATTATATTTAAAGTTGTTTCTAATCTAATCTGTTCTGAACAAAATTGATTCTAATAAAAAAAATAATAAAAATAGACTGAAGAGATGGATAGACAATTGTAAGGAAGAAGGCAATCCCGCAATAAAGTCCCAAGAGCATTTACAATGGGTGATTGATTCTGTCGTGCCCCTTCACACACATAGTCGCGCCGGTCGTCCGTTGTAGAAAGCCGCAACGCGGCTCTTTTTCCTTCCGGTGAGGCTGATTTCAGCCATCCATTGTAAATGCAATAAATGTCATTGGTTGCCTTAATTGCTAACTACATCGATCAAAAAATACCGAGAAACAATAGGCCGGGCGCGGGTGGTGGAGTTGCAATCCAAATCCGAAGGAGGCCCGCTCCCTAATTCCCGATTCCACTGCGGCAGAGGAAACCGCCAAATTCTTGCAGTCCAAGGTAGTTCTTGGTCGTCTCCGACCGTCCCCAACGCCGTCTCCGACCCTAGGACGATTCCAGTACGTCAAACGACACTTAATTGGCAAACCCGTGCAACCTAGTGTACCAAAAATGATACATTAGTCAAACGGTCAAACTTAATTACTCCATTTATTTATTTTTTATTAATTATTTTATAATATAAAGTAGTCATGTCATTCCTTGTTTTGAACAATTTTTTATATAAATTTTAAATATATAAATTTTAATTTTGAATTTTATATTTTCAATCAAATAAATTAAATTGAAAATAAACCCAGCGAAACCTCATGGATTGGTAGGAGATCTTCAATTCCAAACATAAAAATTTTTAGATTTCAATATTAATTTTTGAAATCTGTTGTAAATGAGATCTTGAATGCGTTCGTTTTGGAACCTTTGATTTACTCCGTACTTTTTTTTCTTCTTCAAATTTGGGACTCCATACCTGATATTTCCTGGATCTAGTAACCTCAATATATCCATCTACGGGGGAAAACTACGCAGACGAAGAGGGAGAGAAGAAATATAGAGAATGCTGCATATGCATCGCTCTGCATCTTCCCTTCCATGCCCGTACTCTCCGAGACCAACACTGTTAACCTTCTTTCCATCTCAACTGTGCTTCAACTTGAGGCTAGTTGTTCTGTATGACTTTTTGTTTTAATATATAATTTTCTTTTCATCCCCATTTGGGCACTCATAATTTGTATTTCATTTCCCCCCTCAAATATCTGATTTAGAGCCAGGAAGGAGCAGAAGCTCTCTGTGTCGTGTGACTTCTCCTGTTTCCAAGTATGTTGCTTCTTTACAACTACCGTTCTACTGCTTATCTTCTTCTTTTAGTTATTAGGTTTACTGTTACTCCGTATTTCATAAATTTTGCTCTGCTATGCTCGAGAGTTTAGATTTAACCTCCATCCCTAATATTACATCCTTCCCGATAGAAGTCATATTTGGTCAATCTACAATTTTTAAAATTTTATAAAGTACAGTGGCCATAAACTATCCAAGTTAATATTATAAACTTATTTAGTTGGTTAACTAAATGTATCATAGTCATCACTAAGAGTATCTATTGCGAAGGAGTAATTTGTGGGGAAAATTTACTTGTCTATTCTAATGTCCAAGATGACCAAATATATAGGGAGATAGGGTACAAATACAAGGAAAATACAATGTATACAAACAAATACAATGAATAGACTCTTCGAATGCCAACCCTTCAAATCCTTGTCTGTTTGCATCCTTAACACCCCCCTCTAGTTGGAGCATGTAGCAAAGAAATGCCCAACTTCGGAGTGAGAAATTACATACGTGTCTTCCCCAATGCCTTTGTATATATTCCGCCAAATGTTGTGTTGTAGACACATGTTTTGTTTTGGTAACTCCGCGCAAAAGCTCATCACGAACAAAATTGTTGGGTGGGTCCCTCCAAATAGAGGACCCACATGTAATATTTCTTCACAAAGCTTAACTATTAAGCTAAAGAAAAAGAATGGAGAAGCAGGCACATCACATGTGGCGGCCAAAGGCTAAGAAGAAAACTTAGACTTTTAAACTTGGTTTTGACCAAGTTGTGTGGCGGTGGAGAGTTTGAGGCAGCATGGAATTGCATGGCGGTGGAAAGTCTCTTATAAAAGGACTTCTACACCTTAGTTTGTATGGATATGATGGTGGAAGAGGCTTGACTCCTCAAGCTTCTAGAGAGAGTCTAAAATTGTGTGTTGACGGAGTAGGCTCTGCACCAATTTTAGAATGAGAGAGTAATTTGTTGAGAGAGTGCTCCAGAATTACTTGTGTGTGTCTTAGAATTAGTTGAGAGTTCTAAACACTTTGTGAGAGGGTTTTACAATTTGTCCGTTCAAAATTGTACTTGTATTCTAAATATAAATTGAGAGCTGTTGTGGATGTAGGTTTATTGAGAAACCAAACTACTTTAAAAAATATTGTGCGTTCTTATTTTCTCTTCTGCGTATATTATCCCGAATAAGGAAAATTACTCTTGTTCTTTTTTCCCAACAAAAATGACAATCAACTTCAATATGTTTCTTACGTTTGTGGAAGGCTGGATTTGCTGCATTATGAACAACACTATTGTCACATCAGATACACATAGGTTCCATGTGACGCATTCCAAGAGAGCAAAGCAGAACCTTTAACCACTTCAATGTACAGGTGATCGCTGCCAATGCTCGGTACTCTCCCTCTGCCAAGGAACAAGTGAGTGTTTTGTTTCTTAGTCTTCCAAGAGACAGGAGAATCTCCAAATTAAACAAACCACCCGGTCAAAGATATTTGGGTCAGAGGACAAGCTGTCGAATCACAAATTCACAATCACACAAACCAGTCAACTAAAGATTATTCTTAGAAGAGAGAGGGAATACCTTGAGTCCTTGACCGGGACTTCCTTTCAGATAGTGCACGACTCCTATTGCTGCTTTGTAGTGATCGTCACGGGGTTCTTTCAAAGATTGGGCTAAAGTGTGAACGTAGTCCAGCTCCGGTCGAGTTATGGATAAATATACTAGACATCCCACTAACAGACAATATGGTTCTGGATTGGCAAGCAATGGAGCTTCAGATAATGCAAGGTGATGATTGGGTTCCATAGGTGTACCCAGCAGCCGTGCACCGAGGAGACTTGTGTGAAAGATAATATCAAAGGCATACTTCTTTTGACACAAGAAGATGCCAGAGGAACTTGGGCGACCTCGATGCTCAGGAAATATTTCAACATACCAAGATCTTTCATATGAAAACACGAGGCCAAGTACAACTTAAACTTGTCAATCAATGCACCGTTGCTACCCGCGATAATAATGCCCGAAGTCCCGAACACCTAAAAAATATTCACATGCTTGATAAATCAGACTACACATTGGAACTTTAACAACCACGGGGTCCTATTTTTGTACTCCCTTCGTCCCTATTTGTTATGCTCGTTATTCTTTTTGGTCCGTTTAAATTTATTGTCCATGTTTCCAATTATAGAAATTATCATGTGGTTTATAGAGTTTTTCTCTTTACCTTAAATCTCAATTATACGGTTTACTTTTACTAATCACTATTTTTAATTAATAATTTGTACACAACCAGAGTGAGCACAACAAATTGGAAGGATGGAATAAGTATTAGGGAAACAAACTTAGTACAAAAAGGGTGATGCTGAAAATCCAGTAGTTGAAGTGTCACAGAGAGAATGCTCATTTCAGGCAGATAGCATTAGGAATCAGATTCTTTTACCACTGTTAGGGGTGAACCGGGGGTCTTATCAAGTTGATAATTTAGTGGCGGATGTGCGGAGGAAAATGCAAGGGAAATAGTGGGCAAAAGTATGGAGGGTGTTTTAGGAGTTCTTTTTTTGGTATTTTATGGAAGAAAATGAATAGGATTAAGAAGGAGAAATGGAGGGATATGAAATGGAAGAAATATCACGGATGGATAAAACCAAGTTGGTGTTAGGAGATATTACACACTCTTATCCTAACTTGGGGTTTGAATCTAGAATTCAATTAAGATACTACACACTTAATCAAATATCTAGAACCTAAAACTCACACTTAAGATAACCACTCTTAAGATATAGAATTAGGAATTTGGCTAAAATAGCATCACACTATTTTAATAATACTCAAAGAGTAAATGGTTTTCAATATTCAAAGATTGTGTTTACAATGGCCATAGGGCCTGATTATATAGGGAGAGGGGAAGGGGGAAATACATAGTACAAAACATGAGGAAACTTCCTGGAAGCAACTATTTCAAAAACATGGGATAATACCCATTGAATCATGTCTCCAAAGTGGAATAAAAATCAGAGATGGGGCTGGGGTTGTGGGGTTTTGAGGTTTGGTTTGTAGTGGTTGTTTCCTGGTTTTTTTAAGGCTATTATTTGGGTAAAATGAGGGGTTGTGTTTGCTGAGAAAAGGGGGC